GACAGAAACCCAAAGGTTAAATCGGCTCTGTGTACCTATATCAAGGCCGGAAGAGGCCGAATATCCATAATCTCACCTGAGCGTCATGCTAGTGCAATTGCATCTATACGACCAAGAACTACATACCTAAGTGCAAGAAAATGTCCCACTTACCACTTGTCCGTAGTCGTCCGTCTGCAGACGATGTGGGTGGGAAAATTTGCGGAATAAGATCCTCACATACTTACGCAAGTTGGGTGGGACAATACTCGCCTCCGTGTCTTTATTAAAATCATGACTTTTCGTCATGCAATAGCAAAATCATGTAATTTTATTACAAGACACGTATTTGCAAGTTTAAAGCTGGTCCACCACTGCCGTAAACAGGTGAGTAGTCGGGCGAAAGTAATATTCTCGGAATGTCGACTCTCTAGACCAATCAGCCATCCTCATAAGATCCTCCAGGCGTGCCCCAGATGTGATAACTGCGGATGCCGAGGCGCTCCTTACTGAATGAGCCCCGAAGATGGAGGTATCGATACCTGCTGAGCCGAGTAGCCACTTCAACCAACGGGATAGGGTAGTGCTTACCACCAGTTTAAAAGGTGGGCGGAGTGAGAGGAAGAGCTGGGAAGTAGTCGCCACCCGGTTAGTACGAGTGCGATCCTCGTATTCTCTTAAACACGCCACCGGGCACAGTGCTGGTGTAGATGGGAAAGCCGGGTATGAAACCGATCTAATGGATGTTTTGGTTCGTCTGTTGATGGTGAACGTTACCCCGTCAGGGGTGTATGATCTAGCGTCGAGGTCCAAGGCCCGGACGTCCGATACTCTCTTGCAAGATATAAGGCAAAGGAGACAAAGTAATTTGGCCGATAATTGGCGTAGGGAGATATCCGGATTCGGAGGCCAGACGAGGAGGAAGGACAAAACAGTGGAAACATCCCAAGTGGAGGAGTAGCGGGGCCTGTGTGGTCAGGAAAGTCTGGAGCCCCTTAGGAGTCTGCACACTAGTGGGTGTTGACCGGCTGGGTTTCCGTCCAGGCCTTGGTGTGTCGAGGAAATAGCCGATCTGAATAAATTGATAGTTCGGTATGCCTTCCCTTCCTCGAAGAGGGATGTGAGGAAATCCAGAATGAGTGTCACAGGGGCTGAAACGGGATCCACGTTCCTAGCCATGCACCAGCTAGCCCAATTTCTCCAGGCTGACCCATATGCTCGTCGAGTGCCCGGAGCCCATGCATCCGCCAAGAGTCGTCGAGTAGAGTCCGAAACACCTCGGATTTCCCAGGGTCCCCTGAAATGCACCAGGCCAGTAGGCTGAGAGAGGTGTTCACCAGGAGGGGGTGACAATCCCCAGACGGGTTCCTGAGAAGGTCCTGGAAGGTTGGCAGCAATCTGGGGAGATCCACCGCCATCTCCAATAGCTGCGTCCCCCAGAAAGGGGTGACGAGGACTAGTTCGGCCCGCTGGCGGCGGGTCTGGATGAGGGTGTGGGGGATCATCGAGAATGGGGGAAACGCATATAGTGGGGTTTCTTGCCAGTTCTGCAGGTAGGCGTCCACGCCTTCTGCCACTGGGTCTGGTCTCCAGCTGAAGAAACGCGGGAGCTGGGCATTGAGTCGAGATGCGAAGAGATCTATAGCAAAAGGACCCCACAGAGATGATATAGTGGAGAACACCTCCACGTCCAATTTCCAGTCGCTGACGTCCGAGAGATAGCGAGAACTCCAGTCCGCCTGGACATTGTGTAACCCTGGCAAATATTCTCCTTGAACCATCAGGATCCGTTCCAGACAGAACTCCCAGAAGTCCTTCGCTAATCCGGCTAGGAGCGCCGAATGGGTACCGCCCATGTGATTGATGTACCGCACTGCCAAGACATTGTCCATGCGGAGGCGGATACATCCATGTGCCTGATCTTTCGCAAAGCTGTGGACCGCGAAGGAGCCCGCCAGGAGTTCCAAGGCATTGATGTGTAACCGGGCTTCGGTTTCCAACCAGCGGCCTCCCGTAGACACGCCTGCGCAGTGAGCGCCCCATCCCTGTATGCTCGCATCTGATTCTATGGTGAATTCCGGGAGGGAGCCGAAGATCGCCTTGCCATTCCAAGCGGACAGGTTGAGAATCCACCAGTGGATTTCGTCTTTTGTCTCTCTGTCCAGAGTCACCAGGTCCGCGTAGGACGCGCCGTCCCATAGGTGCGCAATCTTGAGTCGTTGTAGGGCTCTGTAATGTAGAGGGGCGGGGAATACCACCTGAATGGAGGATGTTAAGAGGCCGATCAAGTGAGCTAATTGTCGCAACGTGAGTTGCGGTCGGAGGAGTGCCCTGCGCAGCTCCTTGCGGATCGCACGAACCTTGCTCATGGGCAGGCTCAAGGATTCTTGAAGTGAGTCCACCATAAATCCTAGGAATTCTATCCGTGTCGTAGGGGTCAGACAGGATTTCTCCCAGTTGATGATGAACCCTAGATGGGAAAGGAGATCTATTGCCAGTTTGATGTGTCGTAAGAGGACCTGGTGAGCTTGAGCCATGAGTAGGATGTCGTCTAGATAGACGATAAGTCTTATCCCTCGACTGCGTAGCCGTGCCATCGCCGGGCGGAGGAGCTTGGTGAAGCACCAAGGGGCCGATGAGAGGCCAAAGGGGAGGCAGGTAAAATGCCAGGTCTTGTTGCGCCAAAGGAAGCTTAAGAGGTCCCGAGATGTTTCTGCCACCGGGACTGTAAGGTAGGCATCCTTGAGATCTAGTTTCGCCAACAAATCTCCGTGCTGGAGTAGGTCTCTCAGGAGGTGTATACCCTCCATCTTGAAATGACGATACTTTACCAAGTTGTTGAGGGGGCGCAGGTTTATAACCGGGCGCATAAGGCCCCCTTTTTTCTCCACGAGAAATACATTGCTCAGGACCCCAGCGCTGCCTATGGGTGCCTGTTCTATCGCCCTCTTGTCTAGGAGGTTGAGTAGTTCCTCGTTGATCAACATGCGATCGTGCCGAGAGAGGTAAAGTGGTCTGGGGGAGGGGATACTTACCGGATCCCCCACTAGCTCTATGTGAAACCCCCGTATTGTGTTGAGCACCCAGGTGTCGGACGTCAGGTCCGACCATGTTGGGAAAAAATGTTGGAGTCTGCCCCCTACACAAACATGAGAAAAACATAGGTGTGTGCACAGAGTGTGAGAATTGTAAAGACTCATCGTAAGGTCGTCTTGAGCCGGTGTATCCACGGAAACCTCTTGAGCGCCATTGCCGGCCGCCGGACAGGAAGAATGGAGACCGGCCACTTGTGTCGTGATAGGTGGGGCGTTGAGTAATGGAGCCTTGTCCTGTACTTCGGGACTGGAAATAATTCCAGCTGGCCAGACGGCTCCTAGATCTGCCGGCCCTGGTAGAGACCCGTCCCTGGAAAACCTCTCATAGAGGTTTGTGCTTTATCAAGGGCAGTGAACGTGCCCACGTAACGCCCCAAGTCTTTGATAAATGAGTCTCCAAACAGAAGGCCCTGGGCATCTTTGCCGGCTTCCATGAGGGCCAAGTTGGCTAATTTGGGGTCAATTTTAAAAAGTATGGCTTTACGCCGTTCAATTGATAGGGAGGTGTTCACACTCCCGGCAATGCATATTGCTCTTTGGACCCAGCCACGAAGGTCATCGGGGTCAACCATGCGGTGTTCCGCTTTGGCGTCTTCCGCCAGGTCAAACAGTTTGGCCAAGGGGCCAAATATGTCTAAGTGCTTGTCTTGGCAGGCACGCAGGGCTGAGTCTAAACCCTTGCGTGGGTTCCAGCCCAGTTTGGTTAGGTACTGGGTCATTTTTGGGTCCACTTCTGGGGTGTCACACACTTTATTGGGGACTATTGGTCTGGGGCATTCTGCCCTAAGCTTGTTTCTTGCAGCCTTACTGAGTGGGCGCCGTACCCAGGCTTCTAGGTAGCCTGCAACGTGGTCCGCTGGGAGCCATTCCGCGGACCTTGGGTGGTGAAGCTCGTCCGGGTCAAATAATGGCTCTCCCAGCGGATCCACTAGGACGGACCCCGCGGCCGCGGGGGTTGCCATCCCTAATTCACCTCCATGCGTCTCCGCTTGTGTGGAGGAAAAGGGGTCTGTGCCCCACTCAGGTCTCTCTGTATCTGAGTCGGTCTCTGACTCGATCTTGGCCTCCTCCTCTGACCCGATTTCCGAGTCGGAGTCGCTCTCAATTTGTGCTCTCGCACATTTCCAAAGCCGCGCCCGTTCTGCCTGGTGCGGAAAGGCTCGTTTGCGTGCTTGGGTCACGCTTTCAGGGGCGACCAATGGTGCGCCAGTCTTGGTGTTTCTGGAGGCAGGGAGAGAAATATGTTTGGCTTTGTGCGTAGCCTTTCTATGTGCCTGGTCACCAGGCTGTCCGATAGGGCGCGTGAGGGTTGCGCCTAAATCACTGGGATCTGCATCCATAGGCCATGCCAAAAGGGCTTGGGCAATGGACTGAGAGAGTGCTGATGACATAGATCCCATTGCTGCCATAATGGCGTCGGACATAGAGCCCTGAAGCGCCGTGAATTGGGGTCCCTCTGAAATATGGGGGTTATCACCCGAAGAGAGCGGGTTTGACATGGTGGCTGAGGTCTCCCCTAATGGGGTGGTGTTGTCCCCATCCGTATGGGATGGGGAGACAGGCATATTTAGGCATAGTAAAAACAATGCTAGGGATAAAGTCAGTGAGAGTAATTCACCCAAGCTGACTGTTAAAGTAATAGTAGAATTGCAATATTCAAAACAAGATAGGAGAAAAGTATTTAAAAATGCTGACAGACAGAAGACAGAGACTCTCACCAGGGCCCAGACCGTTGGTAGAAGGAGGGCAGGTCCCAAAAAGGGGGAAGGAGAAACAGGAGGGTCACTGAGTTGACCAGAAAAGAGCGGGAAAAGAAAAAAATGAATTAATGCAGTGAATAGATAGAAGGGTTTAAGTAAAGTGAATAAAAAAGGTGAACAGTTGTTCGTCTAAAAAATTAGAATGAAAAATTCGAATGAAAAATTCATCTAAAATGAGGGAAAACAGCCGAACGGCCTATGTGGTAATGAGTGAATGCGGAGACAGAAGTACCCAGGGAGAAAATGGCGGTAAAGCGTTGAACAGAGACCAGAAAACAGGTATAAGGTTTAGTGAGAGAAGGAGGTCAGGAATTTCTCACAAGGAATAAAGGTGGGGTACCCTTAGTGAGTATGAGGGCACCCCACACGGTCTGGGAACCTGGGAGTACAACGAAGAATTAATATTCAGTCATATAAAATACATCAAACAGGATGTAAGGAAAAGATTAATAAAATTATAAACATATAGTAATGAGAAAATTAAGTATTATCAGAGTATAATAAAAAGGTACTTATCTGGCGTGGTAGCAGCAAAGAAAGAGGGAAATGGGAAGGCGGACCAGGGTAATATACTGGACATAAAGGGGCGTGGCCTGTGTGTGAGACATGTACTACCTTTTCTTTCAATTCTGTTAATGATCTTTGCTGCTATGGAGTGGACAGTAAAGAAAGGGATATGCAAATACGAGCCTCGGTGTCTTGTAATAAAATTTTAGATTATGCTAAGTGTGTACCTATAATCTTAATTTTAATAATGACAAGTGTATACCCCCACCTAGAAAAGGGTTGTTTGTCACGGGGATCATTGGACTGGGTTTTGGTGAGATGTGAGGAGCCCCCCGTACTGTGTCCCAAATTTTCAGAGTTTGGGCTGCCAGGAATGTCTGAAGTGTTCTATACTGATGTAATTTTTTGGTATTCCACATAGATGCTTTTAGGGAGTGTACTATGCTGTCTTTATCCAATGTTATACAAAGTGTTTTTTTTTGGAGCTGTGTGCCATTCCAGCGTTCTTTGGAGTGCCACGTCTTGATGATATCTGCGTAAATCTGGAAGTGCTAAGCCGCCCCTCTGTCTCGGGAGGCAGAGTAGCTTGTGTCGGATTCAGGGTTTTCCATTTCGCTATAAATACTTTAGTATTGAAGTGCGGAGGGAGGTAACAACTATTATAAATTTTATATACATTACCATCTACACTAAGTGTATGTACTTTTTCTTTTACATATATCCTATATATATATATATACATCCCTCCTATACTATTTTAATAAGGGTAAGAAAAGCTCTCCACTTTGTACCATTTAAATCACAATTGCATTTTATTTGAGTGTGGGCATAGGGGTTTTCCCACACAAGAGTGTTTTGAGCTGCTATATATGTAAGCTCAAAGTCAAAGACCAGGTCGCACAAAAGCACAGAAGATAGTTTATAGAATTTTGTCCATCAATTAAACTCAAATGATTGTGGCATTGTTTTTTTTCAATTTGACAATTTTTACTTTGTCACGTAAAAATGGGGGTACAGAAAAGAAAAGGGTATGGGAGTTCAGATTTAACGCATCTAGCACAGTGTGTCCATACAAAGAGTACATATTTTGTTCATTCGGAACAGGCAATACAGAATTTACAACGTATGCAGGAAACGAACACTGTAACTGGCCGCACGGAGGAAATGTGTATGTGTGACTGTCTGCCTGTGACTGTGTGTGACTGTCTGCCTGTAACTGAGTGTGTGACTGTCTGTCTGTAACTGAGTGTGTGACTGTCTGCCTGTAAATGTGTGTGTGGGGCTGCAGGGATTTTGTAGAAGGGGGCGGGGTTTTTGTATTGGGACAGGAGTCTTTATAAGGGGGGATAAGCAGGGGATTTGTGGAAGGGGGTTGCGGGGGTTTTGTAGATGGGGCAGTACAGGATTTGTAGAAGGGGCAGGACAGAGGTTTTGTAGGAGGGGCAGGGCAGGACAAGGGTTTTGTAGGAGGGGCTGACAGCGGTTTTGCAAAGTTTACAAATTGTAGAAATAAAACCTTTAACATTTTTTACAGGTTTTTTTTTTTTTTTTTGGGTGGGGGGGGTACCAAGCACAGGATCCGCCCGGGTGCCAAATGCTCTAGGTACGCCCCTGCAGTCGTAGCACACATACGATTTGCAAAATGTACTGTGCAAACTCACTTTGTGTGTCAAAAAGGCAGAAAAAACGCTTATTACCACTACACTTGGTACAAGCTAGCGTGAAAATTATCCCACGCTAAGGTTCAAAATATGCCTTTTGAAATACTCTGGGATGTGTTCTTTAAGAAATGGTATGCCTTTATGGTGTAGTTGTAATATGTAGCCTGCTCAAGTGCTCCAAAGTGGGACATGGACGCATCAGAACCCTCCATGAAAATTCACACTTAAAAACCTGAACTTGTCACATCTCTTTTACAGCACTGTAACTTCACAAAATAGTGTAAGAAATACTCAGCAACAATGCAACATATACGTAAAAATGCAACCCCCCCACCTCAAACATTGACAGAAAATGGTGACAAGTTAAGGCACAATATACACCATATAAGATACCCTGGGGTGTCTGCTTTATCAAATGAAAGCCCTTTGTGGGGTTATTTGAACAGTCACACTGCTAGAATACCCTAAAATGAGACGTAGGCTGGTCAAATCTATCTACGAAAATTCCAACTATAGAAACTGAAATAGCCTTGTCACATATATGGCATTGTAACTTCACAGAATAGTGCCAAAGGCATACAATGGGGGTATCATTATACTCAGCAGATGTAGCTGAACACAATATGGGGTTCTGTGCAGGAATAGCACACACCAGCTTTACAAAATACACATTAAAAAAACCTTGTTATATGTGTATATGCCAAAATAACGAAAAAACACAATTTTACTCCAATATTTAGCAGAGATTGGCGATTAAATGGCTACATAAAAAGTGTCAAACTAACCTTGGGTAATAAAGCCTTTGATGTCTACTTTATATAAATATATACTTTTGTGTGGCAATTTTGTTTTCTTTAATGGCTATTAAGCTTACAAGACAAACATACCAAATTCTAAAATCGCTCCACATTAAAAGTTTATTTTACTCCTTGTGCTTTGTGACCTGTAACTACCAAAAAAAACTTAAAATCCCAGACATATTATATATTCTGTAAATCGGAACAACTAAATGTATTTATTTTTAATTACTTTCCTTAACCTGCACTAATTATGCACTCATTATTATTGCAAAAACTGTAAAAAACACTTTTTTTTTTGCATTTTTCTGTATTTTTTTTTATAATAAATAAGCATTTATATATATATATATATGTTACATCAAATTAAAGCCCTTTCTGTCCTTTAAAAAACGATATATTATATGTGTCGGTGCAATAAATTAGTAAAATGCAAATTGCAGTTGAACACAAACAACAAAAAATTCAATAATTGCTTGTGTCATTAAGCATAAGACAAGCTTCTGAAGCTGTGTCCTTAAGGGGTTAACTAGATAAAATTAAAAACAAATCAAATAAACCCAAAAATAGCACTATTATAAATAAAAGTCCATACAGTTTGTGCCAAAACGTGTTTCGCTTGAATGTGCTTCCTCAGTCTCCTGAAATCATGTTCCAGAAGTTGTCCATATTTAAATGCTGGTGCTGGGTTTCCATTTCCCGGTCATGTGGTTCTGTTTTGGCCAGTCACACTCCTTGTTCAAAAGTTCCCACCTTCTCCTCCGGTGTAATCTTTTTCCTCTAATTAGGGGTATCCACCCATTTCATTACATCTCCCAGTGATGTTCATTCACTGTGCTGAGCCTTAGTTAGTACCTAAATTAATGGGGGGTCCAGCTTGAGAAACCCGGAGGTGATCTTGTGTCACTCGTGATAATTTACTTCCGGTTTTCTGATCGCACCCACCTGCAGTCTCACATCCACCCAGCCTTCCATCAACGTATACGTCCTCCTCCTGATATCAGGCAGATGTGCCCAGAGGCGTTGGATTCCATATTACTCGTGGGCATCAGCAATAGACTCACTAATATAATGCAGGAGTGAAGTCAGTATGTGAGCATCAACATCCAGAAGATGCTGGAGATAGGACGATGCTGTACAACAAGCATTTCAAACATGCGGCCCACAATGTATATATATGCGGCCGACCTACCCTGTCTGATTCTTGTCTTCCCTCCCACAGCCACAAGAGTGCAGAGTGACTGTCTGTTTGCAGAGCAGGCCAGCCACTCCCGTTCCCCTCCTGCTTGCATTGCCAGAGGAGCCTCTGGCTTGCTTGAGTAGAGAAGAGGAGGGCTGGAACTGGAGGATGGGGAGCTCATCTTAAGGTAGATGAGGGGCTTGGGGGACCTTCCTGTGCAGTGTGTTAAATTGGAGAGGGGAGGTAGTGTATTAATTTGGGGGAGAGTGGGGGCCAGTGTATTAATTTGGAGGAGTGAGCGAGGCAGTGTTTTAGAGTTGTGCGAGGGGGGTGCAGTGTGTGAAATTGGGGAGAGGGAAGTGTGTTAATTTGGGGACGGAGGGGGCATTGTATTAAATTGGGAAGACGGGACCAGTGTATTAAATTGGGGGGGGGGCAGTATATTAATATGAGGGAGGGAGGGGACAATGTATTAATTTGGGGGAGAGAGTGGGGCAGTGTATTAGAGTGGTGAGAGGGGGAACAGTGTTAAATTGAGGGGAGGGCAGTGTATTCAATTGGGGAGACGGGGTAGTGTGTTAAATCTGGAGATGGTGGGCATTGTGTTAAACTGGGGGAGGGAGGGCAGTGTAATAAATTAGAGTGGTGGGTGTATGGACAGTGCATTCAATTAGAGTAGAGGGAGGAGGGACAGTGTATTAAATTAAGGGGCAGTGTATTAGATTAGGTCAAAGGGGCAGCGTATTAGAGTGGAGGGGGGGACAGTGTTTTGTATTTTGGGGCAATGTATTGGATTTTTGGGCAGTGTATTAGAATGTGGGGAGGGGGCAGTGTATTAGATTCAAGGCAGTTGGACTGAAACATTGGAGATATGTAAATGCATGTCTCCTGAAAATAAATTAGCTCTTTTGTATACTTTGAAGCCCTACTAGCGTGAGGACATGTCAGTTAGGCAACTTTTTTTTTTTTTTTTTATAATTCTTTATTTTAGCATTGTCATAACATACAGCTGGTATTCAATACTTAGGCTTGTGCAAAAGCCGGGTTGCATAATGTACATTGAGATTGTATGGGTACAAAAAGAAGATGGTTATTTGGTTAAATGTACATTCGATTCTTGGTGTGTCCGTTGTCGTGATTGCTTATGTTTTTCATGTATCTGTTGTCTGTCAATGGTTTTTGTTATATGATTGTCTATCTTCGTCGTTATGTGGTCGTGTGATCCTGATCTGAGAGACGACTTGTAGGGTGGTACCCCTAATAGTCAGGGTGGTCCTGGGTCACTCTTATCTTGTCAAGTGGATTGTGGATTGTGGTCTAGAATGTGTGTTAGTGATGGACGATCATCTCGTCCCTTCAGTGGTAGCTTGGTGTCTGTGTAGCGTTGATGGATAACATCTCTTGGTCATAAGGGGCTTGGTATTATGGGGTGGTGTCGTTGCGTTTGGTTTATAGCTGTTGACCCTTGCTCGGTGTGTTGGGGGTATGTGGTGTCTCTGCTTTTGTCCCCTTATGTCGTGGGGGCTTCTTCGCCTACTGTTGCTAGTTTTGACTTGCGTTCTAAGGGGTGGGTTTGTCAAAGGGTAGGGGTGGTGGTGGGGGAAATGTTTTTTCTAGGCGTTCCTGTGTCGTTGTTGCAGTTCGCCTCCTCAGAGTCAGCTGTCCGCCTTCGTTTTGCTGTCAAGATATACTGGAGGTAGGGTAAGTGTGGGGCGGTGGTGAGGTATCTGGGATGGGGGGTTGGGAGAGAGGGGGGTGGCGCACTGCGGTGTTGTGTCAAACCTGTGTGGTGGGTTCTGCAAGCCATGGATCCCATATTTTGTCACAATGCGTTGTGGTTTCGTGGATGAGGGCCGACATTCTATCCATTGTCCTGGCTTCGTTCATTTTGCGTTTTATGTCAGTTAGCGATGGGATCGTGGCTACTCCCCAGTGGGCAGCTATAGCTCGTCTGGTGGCTAGGGCTAGTTTGGCTAGGAGTTTGTTGTGGGCACGGGGTGTGTTTGGTAGGGGCTTAGATAGGAGCCAAAGCCAAGGGTCTATAGGGATGGTGTCGTGTAGGACTAGTGATGCGAGCGTTGCTATGTTCTTCCAAATTGTTGTTATGAGAGGGCATTCCCACCAGAGGTGGTAGTATGTCCCCTGTTGGCCGCATCCCTTCCAGCATCTGTCTGCGGTGGATAGTCCCATCTGTTTGAGTCTTAGCGGTGTAATGTACCATCGCATGAGGGTCTTGTAGGCCTGCTCTTTGTGTGTGACGCATATAGTTATGGTCGCTGTGGCCTCCCAGATGGCTGCCCAATCTGAGGGGTCAGCGGGGGGGCCCAGGTCTCGTTCCCATGCTGTGATGTAGTTGAGTGGCTGTTTTTTTGTCGCTGTGAGTATCCACGTGTATGTGGTGGAAATTTGGCTCTTCCGTATTGGAGTGTGAATGCAGGATTTTTCAAAAGGGGTGAGGGGGGTATGTCCTGCTTGTTTGTACGTGGTTGTCTCGAGGAAGTTTTTTATCTGGATGTATCTGAAGTAGTCGTGTGTGGTAAATGGTACTGTTTGGGGCAGGTCCGTAAAAGGGATTATTTGTTGGTCCTTATAGAACCGGTACACCCTGTGGAGGTTGTTGTCCTCGTAGTGGGCAAAGTCTCGCGGGGTCATTCCCGGTATGAAGTGTTCATTTCTGAGAATGGGTGTCAGGGGCGATGGGTCTGAGGTGAGTGCGCATTGCAGGGAGAGTTTATTCCATATCGCTATGGAGGTGGTGAGCGCTGGGGTGGTCTGCGGGACCTTCGGGCGTGCTTGCCGAGGTAGCCATATGTATAGAGAGGGGAAGTCCCTGCCGAAGAGGTCATGTTCCAGATCTACCCACCGCTTAAGTCCTATGGGGGCATGTAGTGTCTGAATCTGGGCTAGTTGGGCTGCGTGGAAGTAGTGTAGGAAATGGGGTAAGCCTAGTCCCCCCGCCCTTGTCGGGAGGTAGAGGATATCTCGCCTGATTCTGGCGCGTTTGTTCGCCCAGATGAAGCGGTCTATTCGTGTTTGTAGGTTTTTGAAGTCTTTGTTCGAGACTTGGACTGGTAGTGTTTGATATAGGTACAGGAATCTCGGTAGGAGATTCATTTTTATGCAGGCCACTCTCCCCAGCCAGGAAATGGAGTAAGCTTCCCATGTCTTGAGATCTGCAGCCGCTTTTTGTAGTAGGGGGGTGTAGTTTAGGTGATAGGTTTGGGTGACATCAGCCGGAAGGTTGACACCGAGGTAGTGTATATGTGATGGGGTAAAGTGGAAGGGGTAGCTCGCCTGCAGGTGGGCCAGTTCGTTTGCTTGGATCTGGACTGGCAGGGCCTCTGTTTTGTCTAAGTTGAGGCGGTACCCTGAGACTTTAGAGTATTCGTCCAGGGCATGGAGTAGCGGTGGGAGAGAATGTGTCGGGTCGGTGAGGGTTAAGAGGAGGTCGTCAGCGTATCCCGCTACTTTGTATTCCTCTCCTCTAACCTGAATGCCCGTGATTGCGGGGTCAAGCCGAAGGGCTTGGAGGAGGGGTTCCAGCGAGAGGGCGAACAGTAGTGGGGAGAGGGGGCATCCCTGCCTGGTTCCGTTGTAGATGCGGAAGGCGGGTGGTTGTGTGTTGGGGATTAGGAGGTTTGCCTCTGGTGAGGAATATAACGTTTGTAGCGCGTTTAGGATCGTTTGAGGTACCTGGAATTTGTGGAGAGTAGCAAATAGGAAAGGCCAGAGGAGTCGGTCAAAGGCCTTTTCGGCGTCTAGGGAGAGGAAGAGGGCGGGGATGTGTCGGTGTGTAGCGGTCCAAAGGAGGTCAAACGTCCGTCGTGTGTTGTCGTATGCTTGTCTGTGGGGTATGAAGCCAACCTGGTCGGGATGGATGAGTTTGTGTATGTATGGGTTTAGTCTGTCTGCGAGTATTTTCGTGAGTAGTTTAACGTCGACGTTCAGTAGGGAGATTGGTCTGTAGTGGCTTGGGTCCGTGTGAGGTTTGCCCGGTTTTGGAAGTAGGCAT